GCAATGCGCAGACATGTTACAGCAAGGGATCATCCGTCCCAGTCGCTCCCCCTTCTCCTCCCCAGTTCTCTTGGTGCCCAAGCAAGACGGGACTTGGAGATTCTGTGTGGATTACAGAGAGCTTAACAGTCGGACGGTCAAAGATAAGTTTCCCATCCCAGTCGTAGATGAGCTGTTAGACGAACTCCATGGCGCGCAGTACTTCTCCAAGCTAGACCTCCGATCAGGATACTTCCAGGTCCGAATGACCCCAGAAGATGTAGAGAAAACGGCCTTCAGAACACACCATGGCCACTTCGAGTTCCTAGTCATGCCCTTCGGTCTTAGCAACGCGCCATCCACATTCCAGGCCCTGATGAACAAGGTGTTTCACTCCCATCTCCGCAGATTTGTCTTGGTATTTTTCGATGACATCCTAGTCTATAGCAAATCTTGGGTAGAGCACGTGCAGCATCTGCGAATTGTTCTTGAATTCCTGTAGTAACATCAGCTCTTCCTCAAACGGTCAAAATGCTCCTTTGGGGAATGCAGGGTCCTTTACTTAGGACATGTGATTAGCGGTCAAGGGGTCACTATGGATGACTCCAAGATTCAGACCATCAAAGAATGGCCCAGACCGCAATCCGCCAAGGCCCTCCGTGGTTTCCTAGGGCTAACCGGCTACTACCGCAAGTTCGTTCACAATTACGAACTGCTGGCAGCCCTGCTAACAAGTCTGCTCAAGAAAAACGCCTTCCTCTGGGACGGTACAGCTGAAGCAGCCTTTGTAAAATTAAGAGAAGCCCTCTCCTCCACACCAGTTCTACAGTTGCCAAACTTTGATCTTGAGTTCACAGTGGAGTGTGACGCCTCCGGCACCGGCATAGGCGCGATACTACAGCAACAAGGGCACTCAATCGCCTTTTTCAGCCGCAAGCTGGCCGACCGCCACCTTAAGTTGCCCGCCTACGAACGAGAACTCATTGGCCTAGCTAAGGCAGTGTAGCACTGGAGGCCGTACCTGTGGGGCAGATCTTTCATAGTCAAGACGAACCATTACAGCCTCAAATATTTGCTGGAACAACGGCTCACCACCTCGCCACAACAGCATTGGGTCAACAAACTCCTAGGATTCGACTTCCGGGTAGACTACAAGGCTGGGGCCTTGAACCGTGCCGCAGATGCCTTGTCCCGTCGCGAAGACGACATGCTACTCCATGCAATCTCCCAGCCCCGAGCCTCCCTGCTGGAAGACATTCGGAATGAACTGCCACAGTCACCCAAATGGAGCGATCTGCTCAAGACAATACAGGCGGGAACGGCCAACCCCAATTGGAGCATGCAGGACGGGTTGGTACTGTACAAGGGCCGAATTTATCTTCCAACCGACTGCCCCTTAATTCCCTCCGTTATCTCCAGCATACACAACGCCACGCATGAGGGCATCCAGAAAACACTACACCGCCTCCATGCAGATTTCCACTGGCAGGGCATGAAGGCTTCGGTACGGGACTTCATCCAGAACTGTTCAACGTGCCAGCAGCAGAAGTGGGAAAACTTGCACCCAGCAGGCCTTCTCCAACCCCTCGCCCTCCCCACTCAGATCTGGGCAGATATTTCCATGGACTTCATCGAAGGCTTACCCAAGGTGGGAGGGAAATCGGTGATATTTGTAGTGGTGGACCGCTTCTCAAAGTATGCCCACTTCCTGCCCTTATCTCACCCCTACAGCGCGGTCTCAGTGGCCCACGCCTTCTTTGGCCACATCTTCCGATTACATGGGCTAACCGAGTCCATTGTAAGTGACAGGGACCCGATCTTTACCAGCGCCTTCTGGAAGGAGCTCTTCCGACTGTAGAGAATAGACCTCGCCTTCTGCTCCGCCTACCATCCATAGACTGACGGCCAAACAGAGGTGGTGAATCGGACAATAGAGATGTACCTCCGCTGCCTTGTGGGAGACCGGCCCAGGCGCTGGGTGGAGTGCCTTCCGTGAACCGAATACTGTTATAACACAGCCTACCACTCCTCCCTTGGCATGACTCCCTTTCGGGTGGTATATGGCCGAGACCCTCCCCGTCTTCTATCGTACGAACCAGGCTCGACACGGCTGGAAGAAGTAGATCGCAGCCTCCGAGATCGCGATGCCCTCCTGGCCGAAGTCTCCTTGCGCCTACAGCAGGCACAGACGCGCATGAAGCACGCCTACGATCAGCACCACCGCGAAGTCACCTTCGAGCCGGGATAGTTCGTTTGGCTGAGGCTCCAACCCTACCGGCAGCTCTCCCTCAGGTGTCGAGGACCCCCCAAGCTAGCCCCAAAGTTTTACGGGCCCTTCAAGGTTCTCAGGCAGATCGGGAAGGTTGCCTATCAACTCGAGCTACCAGAGCACAGCAGAATCCATGACATCTTCCATGTGTCCCTCCTGAAGCCTTTTACAGGGACTCCCCCGGACCAAGTGCCCCCCTCTACCACCTCTAAAGGACGGCAGACCCATCTTCCAACCTCGGGCTCTTGTACGGTCGCGCATCAATCAGGGTACCTTCGAGGTTCTAGTGGAACGGGACGGACTACCATCAGCTGAGGCCACCTGGATCCCCTGGAACGATCTTCACAGCGCCTACCCCGAACTTGAGCTTGAGGACAAGCTCGTAGTCCAGGAGGGGTGTGATGTTATGGGCACACCGCTCGGCAGCACACTCGGTGCAGTCATAGACAGTGGCACGCACAACAGCACGCACCGCCCAGCAGTATCGCACAGCAGAACGCACCGCCCGGCAGCAGCACTGTGAGATGCACGCGCCACCCGGCAGCAGCAGTAGGGCGGGACCCACACGATAGCTCATCAGGGTGGGTCCACACTTATCTTACCACATCAGCTCTGCTCGCCAACTCGCCGCCAGCTACTCCATTCCTCGTCCCTTATCTTATCTTATCTTATCTTATCTTATCTTATCTTAAGTAAGAGTTGTGTTACCACTAGGAGTAGGTAATTAGGAGTTTGAGTTAAGTTGGATTACCTAGCCTAGCCGAATCCAACAAGGAGTTTCCTTCTGTAATCTCCTATTTAAGGAGTTACGAATTGAAGTAAAGGCATTCAGTTTTCAACCAAGAAAGGTGTTAGGAGTGTTCGGGTGATCTCTTGGACAAATCACCCACGCGATTGCCACAATAGGGTCTGTACGCAAGGGCAAGGGCAAGGGAAGACAGGAGTCTCTCCCGGTGGACCGACCCGTGATGAGATCCTACACGCGGGCCCATAACAGGTGATGGGTTCCTTGGAATCTCATATCCAGATTTATAACCACTGGTGATAAACATGGAAGCAGTTATTAGAAGCAGTTGTTGGATGAATGCAGAGGAGTCTGGGTACTGCCTCTAAGGAAGTAAGGAGTAATGTCAATAATTGAGAAATGGAACCCCTTGTTGGTTTTCTTTCAAGTCTCAATCATATCTCTCCAACAAGTACAAGAGGCTGGACACACTGTGGAAGCCAGATCTGGGTGGCATGTTTCCAGTGAAGGCTTTTACCATTTTATTAATTGTAGGAGGCCATGGTTCACTCCACCTTACATTCATATGTAACTTTCCTATTTTAACCAAAATTGATTTTATATGGGCTGCTTTCTTAAATAGTTCTCAAAGCAGCACTTTCAGGGCAAGGACATGGCAAAATTGAAGTATTTCCCATGGACAGAAGTGGCAAGACTGAAGAGTGGTAGGAGAGGTAGAGCCAAAATCTAGGGGTAGTTTATCTTTATTGGGTACTGTGGGGGAAGGTTGTTTTTGTTTTGGTCAGTCCGGGTTTTTGGTTGGGGGGTGTGGTTAGGAAGTTCTATTTTGTTGCCGCTTTGCAATTGGCGGATTTGAGTAGCTTTGGTTGGTCAATCTCCCCACTCTGGTTGATGATGAGATTTTGTTTAAGGCTGTGTAGTTTTGGGATATATAGAGCTTATTCGAGGTGGAACCTTCAGATGTTTTGTTTAAGGCTGGGTTTGACAGGATCTAGATCATTTCTGTTGCCCCTAGTTGCTCAGTGCTTATTTTCACTTTTTCTTTCCTGTTCCTTGAGCCATAAAGCCTGTATACACCTTTCATGCTTCCCTTTCCTTTTAACACATTTTATTTTACTGTCAGAAGAAAATTCTTAGTTCATTGGGGGCATTTATATTTATTGATTAAACCCTATTAATCTGTGCCTGAAGCTGTGAAAAAAAAAATAATGTGATTGTTTCTGAAAGCAATTAAATAAAGGGATTGAAAGAACTGCTTTTTCATAAAAAAAAATCCAAAAAAGAAATGAGAAAAAACGTGCAAACACAAACAGCAGATACAAAGATCTAAGCTTCAAATTTTTTATACGATATACCCCATATCGGGCATATTTATTGTATTGGTGGGTCCCCAAAACACCTGTTTAGAGGTGTTTTCGGGAACCTCTTTTTTAAAATTATATATATATATATATATATCAAAATATTTAAAACTGGAACTTGTAAAAAAAACTAAAAAAAATAAGTGTATGGTTTAAGTACTGATACACCTCTGCCGATACATAAAGGTGTATCGATACTTTGAACCATAGTAAGATCCCTAACCCACAAAAACAAAAACTTCAATGTGTCAAAAACATCTGGAGCCCCTACCCCACCGCCCCCTCTTCTCCCACCCAAAAAAATAAAAGAAAAAGAAACAAGTAGGAAAAAATAAATTTTCCAATATTTTGTTTTTAAGTTCCATGTGTCAACTAACTATAGTAAGCCCTAGTCATGCAGTCACTAATGGATAATACTAAATTCACTTGGTATTTAAGCAGACATCTTTCAGTTCCTATTTGCATGGGAGGTCCCTACAGCCAGATTAAGTATTTGAACTTCGAACTCCATGTGGTTCTATAGAAGTTCCAGTTGTTGGTTTTTAACACCCGAGCATGACAGTTATTGGATCCCCTACTTGATTGATTTTATGTCACTGATTGCTTTACATATAAATCAAGGCTAAGTCGGCCATTTTCCCCACAGGAAAATGTCAACAGAAGAGAAAAGAAAACTTGGTGCAGGCCTCAGCCAGTTGTCTCCTGAAGATCTGAATAAAGCATTGGAGATAATTGCTCAGAAGAACCCAAGCTTCCAAGCCACAGCTGAAGAGGTTGATCTGGACATGGATGCGCAGGTCATTAAAACTGCCATCTCATCAGTGTCAACTTTAACTCAGTCATTTTATTTATGGAGGTTTATTTGGTGTTGATATGTACTCATGATGCAGAGTGAATCCACATTATGGAGGTTGAAGTTTTTTGTGAGGGAAGCTTTAGAAGGCAGCGGCAAGAGTTCTGTTAGCAGGGGTGGCAATGACAACTCCAACTCCAAGCGAAAGAAAGAAATTTGTGATGCTCTTGCCAAGACTGCAAAGAAACGGAGTAAAAAGCTATCTTCCTGATGTATTATATCGTCATATTATAAGTTTGTCTCTTTCATATGTTCACCTGCGGTGGCTACATGTCAGCATCTCGTCCAATGTTTATATAGATACAACTTTATTAATAAAATAAAATTCTTATAAATACAGCTGTTTAGATCAACATTTTTTGACAAGTTAATTTGTTTTGTTGGAGATAAGTTCATCTTACTTATTTAACAGAGTTGTCAGACCCGGATAGGATTAGATGGTCTAACTGGTGAACCGGTGATCCCGTGATGGTGGTTTTTCACTGTTCGGTTTTAATGTGTTTTTATTTTTTCTTTTCCAATTCAGGCTGAACATTTAATGTGTGAATACCCACATACTTAATACATTGCAATAACTATGCAGGCCGCATCATTTCCATGTAAGGGGAGGGGCACTAAAATAAAACTGAATCTTTACATATTGAAAAAGTGTTTGGGTAAAATACATGGACTACCCTCTACTTTGGGTGTAGTGATACACTGATACTTATTCCCCCAACTTTCATTTGCAAGTTGCAACAGAATGTTACTTTATACTCTCATTTTGCAACACTGTTCTGCCACATTTTCACCATTATTTTTAAAAATAAGGTTTTGGATATATAATAAAGAAGAGGGCAAAAAGGTTTCTTAAAGGTTAAGAACTGACGGAATGCTAATATTGAAAACGGGGTGTTGGAATTTGAATGTACAGGGTGGCTTTTCTGTTGCAAATGAGAGTTTAGGGACAGTATCACCAACCCCAAAATACAGGGTATTTTAATGTACACCCTTAGACAGCAAAAAGGTTGTGTTTCTGTAAAAAAAAAAAGAGCGTAATCAACCAACTTCAGGATCGGCTATTAAGGAGTAAACACTCAAGACAAAGCGACAAACCATTCAATTCACCCACTTCAGATTTTATCAAATGACTTTAGGCTGCGTTTGTTTAAACTGTAAATGAGAACTGGGGTAAATTTTACACCCCGGTTTGGTTTTGCAGGCATTTGGTAGGGGTGTTAATATACTTCATCAATCGGTGTAAAAGTCTATTTTTGTCAGAGAATACATTGAAAATTAGTGAAAATTTTACGTCGATAAAATCGATGTAAATCTACCGTCCAACGGTTATCTCGTGTCTCTTCTGTCCAACACTGCATGTCTTCATTTGAACCAAGAAAAGAGAACCAGTGCGACGGCAGCATCCCCAACCGGCGATATCCCTTTTCACATCTCTATCTCTTTAAGCTAAAAGGCTAGCAGTTGCCTTTACCAGCAAGGGTAATATACTAATATTCATTTATTTTGAGTTCACAATCTAATTCCATATTTCAAAATAAATATGCTTTCTGTGTTCTTAGATATTTCAGTTTCCACATTCCTTTGTTGCCAACTTCCTACTTAATTGGCAAGATGATCTTATAATAAGGTAAATTGCAAATTAGTACCTTATACTTTGGGGATAGTCTCACTTTAGTACCTGAACTTTAAAGCATGCCACTATAGTATTTAAAATCCTAAATGAACACTACAGTGGATAATAAAATTATCAAATTGCCCTTTTATTGTCATAAACAATCAAATATGTTTACAAAACTGACGGATTGGTCTCTTCCATATGCCAGTGGATGAGGAGTTCAGACTTCAGAGTACCCTCGTACTTGCTAGGTCGTCGATGACGGGGCTCACTTCATTCGTCTAAAATTGTTAAAGTGCTGGTCAAGGAATTCTTGACTATGGCTCCGAGGGATGTCTTTGAGATGACATCGAGACATCCTCGAGAATAGAGGATTTGTGATGGGTTTTGAGATTCTTTTCATCTCTATTATGTCTCATGGAAGAAGAAGATGATGAATAATATCTTCTGGGTAATTCTGGAGTTTAAAAGTTTCAAATCACATGTGATACATTTTAAAGGGGAGTGCATACATTTTAATATGCAATCCCCTTGTTGAACAAATTAGTTGGGACTGTGCCTTTGTTGAAGCTACCGGGAATGCTGCTTTGTTCTCTAGAATAATTTTGCGTTATGACAAAGCTCTCTCTCTCTCTCTCTCTCTCTCTCTGCATCTCCAAACTTGTGGTGGAATCTGACTCTTTGGAGTAGGTTAATCTCCCAAAAGCCCCTGCGCATGCCTATTGCAGTGATCTCTTCATTCTTGATGATCATCCATGACATCAATATTATCTCTAGGGGTAAGCAAGAAAGCCTGAAAAACCGAACCGAACTAAAATCGAATTGAAAATCCAGTTAATTGAATCGGTTAGTTCGGTTTCGCTTAACCTTTTAAAAAACTGACGGGTAACCGAATCGATTGGTATATATATTATGTATTATAAATTATATTATATTATATTATATTATATATATATATATATTTTCTAAATCGAAGTAAACCCACCGCCACTTGACTTTTTGAGTTTCCCCCTTTCCCTTTCTTTCACACCTAAAGGCTAATACCAAAACTGAAAACCCTTGCTTTCCTTTTATTCATCTTCCTCCCAAGTTCCCCTTGCTTTTCTTTGGCGCCGGTCGTCATTTTCTGTCATTCGACGTTGATGTCAGTTGATGGTCATCCTTTGATGGCCTCTCCCCCTCCCTTCTTTGTTATGGCCACGCCAAAAGGCCCAAAATTGATCTCTCTCTCTCTCTCTCTCTTGTCTGTCATCTCCTCCGCCACTCCGTGACAACCACCAAGAAGCAACACCGGTTGGCGAAGCCACCAAAGCTACGCGCCAACTACTCCCTCTCTGATGACACCTATCATCTCCGCCACCTCTCACTTCAGGTTCAGGCAACAACAATCAATCCGGCATCAGCAAATCGGCCATCACTTTAGTGTTCATTGTCCAAGTTCGACTTCAGGCCTTCAACTTGTTTAAGGTTTTTTTTTGCATAAATATTATTTATAGTTATTTTTTTATTTATTGTTTTTTTTTGCATAAATAATCTTGCCTTTAGGCTTCATTTTATATTTTCATTTCAGCTTGTTCATTTATAGTGTATTTTTTCATTTTTCTGGATTGTTACTGAATGAGTGAATGAATGTTGATTAATAGTTTAGTTTGTTTTACTAAATGAATGTTGATTAATAGTTTAGTTTGTTGTATTTTCATTTCAGCTTGTTTTAGGGTTTTTTTTGCATAAATATTAGTGTGTTTGTTCATTTATAGTGTATTTTTTTTATTGTTATTAAATGAATGTTGATTAATAGTTTAGTTTGTTGTATTTTCATTTCAGCTTGTTTTGTTTATTCATGTTTTATGAGATGATTACAAAATGAGAACATTCATTTTTATGCTAAACATCTAGTGAGAATTGTACAAGAATCAGGGATGACTGTCTTTTGTTCATACAACTTATAATCTTCACTTTTTAGATTAGAAGAATTGAACAAATTACATAAACTATAAGTCTATAACCTATTGGAACATTTAATAAAATAAAAGTGAAAAATGTGTATAAATTTAAATCAATTTATTTTAACATGTAAATTGATTTTGATGGAGAGAAGGTTTTTTTCTCTCTCTCTCGTTTTTTTTTTTAATTTTGAGTGCAAGGTTACTACACAAAAGAAAAAAAAAAACAAAAAATAAACCACGAGATCCACCGGTTAATTGGTCATTGGTTCGGTTTCGGTTCGAATTATTAAGAAACTGACCAAGTTGGTTCGATTCAAAAAAAAAAACTCACAGTTTGGTTAATTGTCGCTACCCTCGACTTGTTTTAAAAGCTTGAACTTCTCCTAGATCCCTTGCTTTGCAAATCAGGTTGTCCACTTGTTGATTGCCGCAACCCTCCAATCAAGGAGATCGGCTCGTGCTCACACCGTCCCAACACAACCTCTTACAACCTTTCATTGGGAATATCTCCCCCATGAAATAAAGAACATGAGTGGGGAGATATTCTCAATGCAAGGCTGTAAAGACTGCTCAAATAGGTGTTGTCATGATGGAAGCTGATCTCCTAGTCAAGGTGTTCTTACACTTTCGAGCATATTTTGCTTGATTGGTTGTCTACAAGGTTTTTAAAATCGACCTGAAGAATGAACCGGTCAGGGGTCCAATTCCTAGGTCGATGACAAAAAAAATAAAATAAAATAAAAAATAAAAAAAGTCAAAACCGTTCGAACGATTAACCGCCCGAATCAGCAGCTTGTTGACCAAAATCAATGGTTTTTGACAAAAATCCAATTTTGGGGAAAAACAAAACTAATCACCTAACCGGTTCCCAATTTTCTGATATGACCATCCGCTCCAGTCCGGTATTAAAAACCATGATTGTCTGCATTGGTCCATCGTGACCATGTACTCGCTCTAGTGGAATTCTTTTATTCTATTAATAAAACCCCACTTTTTAACCCAAAAAGAAAAAATATCCTGCATGATTTCCATGCCTTGGCATGACTGAATGAATAAAAAAATCTGTAACAATGTGCATATGTATTTACACCCCATTAATAATTAGCCAACAGATCTTGACATTTTTATATCCATTGCAGTCATGGTTGGTAGTTTTGACCGTTTATAAGAGATGGTTGTGCATCTACAATCTAGAAATTTCTAAACGAAAAATAAAATAAAATAAAATTCATTCGGCAATCTTTCACTTATCTTCTAACATAAGTATTATGTAAATGTGAGTTTTGTTGTGTCTCCACACTTAGGCTGTGTTTGGTTTGAAGTAAAAGGTAGGGAAATTTATACAAACTTTTTAAGTGGAAATTTTTTAATAAAAATTAAAAAAAATATATTCTACTGTATTTAATGCTATGTTAGGTTTGAAGAAAAAAAAATAAGGAAAGGTGGGGATCCATCTACCCTTCCCTTTCCCTACTTTCTCCTTCAAACCAAACACAACCTAAGTGAAAACCTTCTAATAAAAAATTAGGATAAATTGCAGATATTGAAGAATACATGTTAGGAGTGTTGATATTGTCTCCTAAATAGGTGGCTGGATATTTGTGTCCTTTAATCATGTTTTACTTAAAGAGTTTTTTTTTTTTTTGGTAAGCAGAGAAGGGTTAAATTAATTATTGTAATTAATATCATAACATATATAACTAATTAATGTCTGCTGCTGATTAGGAGAGTTTTAGATTTTTCTCCCTACCTAGTCTTCTCTCTATTTTACTCTCTCTTCTCTTTTTCTCACTCTACCTGCCCTTTCTCGCCTTTCTTTCTCTCTTCATTTTATTTTATTATCTTAAGATTAACCTTAGGCCACTTTCCTGGTATAAAGACTGATCATTGACGTGTTTGCTTGTGATTAGGGTGTGTACCTAATTGCACACACCATATTTCTAGCAGATCTCATGTCAATTTGAGGAGTTCTTCAAGGTCCCCCCTTATCCATGTTTCCTCTGTTCTATAAATGACAATGTTTGGAGGAAACAATTGACCCAAAGCCACCAATAATTCTAAAATTCATCAGTTGCTGGACAAATAAAAAAAAAATCCATAGTCAGCTACTTATCTGGGATGATAATATCCGTTTGAGAAATAATAAAGTTTCCGAGTATAATGCGTTTACACGAGTTATATGTTAGATCATGTTATGTTGCATTAATGATAGATAAGTTCACTGCCTCAGTAGGCATTGTTTAATCTTGGCTGACAAGATTATGGTTGGGGCCTAAGGCAAAACTAAGGGTACCTTTGGTTCTCAGAACTGAAATTTGAATTGTTTATTCCTATAGTTTTTTTTTGGTTCAGACAGGAATTGAAATGAGATTTCATTCTCAAGGGATGGGGGAGGGAATGACCATTTTCTTAAATGGGAGAATATCATTCTAATATGAATGGAATGGAATTTCAATTCTGCCCAACTAAACAGTTAAAATCAGAATGGCTCGTTCTGGTTCTGATTCTAGATTCTTATTCCCATGAACCAAATGGAACCTAAGATCATGGTCCATGTAAAAAGTGATATTAATACAAATTCGATTGGATATCCAACAGACATGTGAAACATCATCGAAATGATTTTTTTTTTTACAACGTGAATTCTTTCAACTGAAATCTTTTCAATGGAGAGAGGTTGTATTGGTGATTTATCAGTACTCCTCTAAAGATATATTTAACTACTCTTATTTTGTTTTTACTTCATCTATCAATTTTAATGTTGGAAAAAACTTATAATGAAACAAAAAAATATGAACTTGTGATAAAATGACAAGTTAGAGGATATCTTTTAACATTGTTTTAAGTCTTGATGGTAAGTATGTATTATGAAACATGAACTTATGAAAAATAAATAAATCATATGATGTCTTTAATGTGATTTATTGAAATTTTGATTTATGTACAGAAAATGTTCGTAAATATGTCATAATTAGACTCTTTAGCAATGTTTTTTAACCGTAGTTGACATGGATGGTTGGACTGTTTGGTTGTTTGAACAACCGGTTCTGTTTCACCCCTAATCCGTTATTGAGTCAAACCCGTTGACTTCATCAGAAAATTGCTGACTCGGGTGGTCGAATTGTCGACTTGTTTGACTCAGCCAACGGTTTGCAATATAAAGTTGCAGAGAGGAGAACTCAGATGGTTCAGATCTGAGATCTAATCTGAGACACAAACTCAGATATGGGATTTAGCACAAAGAAAAAGAAGAAGAATACTTTCTTCTACAGGTGTCTTAGAGAAATCGATCTCAGATTTGAGATCCAAGAACTCAGATTTAGATCTGTATCTGTTGCCGCCACCTCGCCGTCGCCATTGTCGCTATCGTCACCGATGAGCATCCAATCATCCTCATCCTCTTCCTTCTTCTTCCCTCCTTCTCTCCTTCATTGTTCTTCTTTCTTTTTTTCTTTCTCAAACAACAGTTCTCCTTTCTCCTTTTGCTTTCTGGCTTTCTCAACTAACATCTCTTCTTTCTTATATGAGGTTTGCATATTAGGGCAAATCTCATATAAACATTTGCCCTAATATACAAATTATTCGACCCGAATTGTTGAAATGGTTCCGTTTTTCGGGTTGATTTTTAAAACCGTACTCTTTAGCGTTTGGCAGTACAAATTCATTCCAAACATGAACTAGACAACCACAAACCAAGGCGGGGTGTATTGCATTATACATTGTTGACATAGCCGGTGGAAGCAAAGACATGGCCAACGTGGAATGCCTAGTATTTTATATATTGATGATTGCAAGTGTAAGTGTTCTACACATGTATGAAAATATAGAATAAGGGAGTTCATTGAAGAGGCTAAAGTTAAAAGCCATCCTTCTATAATGTGTCCCAAGTCTATTTTTTCTAACTTGATTGATGATGTTTGAGTGAGAAACACAGCCTTATTTTAGAGGACAAATCAGCCCCCACAATGTCCGACAGCACATCTTCCACCGTGTATTGAAAATATCTTCCAATGATATATCAGAAATGATAATATCATTATTAGGAGATGTTTTCAATATACAAGGGAGATGTACTGTAGGACGTCGTGGGGGGTCTGATTTGAACTCATTATTTTAAGCGAGTTAAGTCTTTTTTTCCTTTGTTTGACTCTCTTTTAATGTTCTTTCCTTTTCTTTTAATACAAGTTGGCCAATTCGGGCCAAGAAAAGAGAAATGAAAGAAAGAACAGAAAAAGAAAACCAACCTAACTATATGTCTAGGCCCCATTACTTGCCAGGTGTCCGGTGTAGATTTTGGAGTCGCCATTTGATGGGTCCCATCACCCATGTGAGAGAGATTAGTCAAAAGTCAGCAATCCAGAATGCAGAAAATGTGAATGAAATTTGTAAAAATTGCTTTTAAGTCAGAGAATCGGATGGTTAGAAAATCATTTCGGACCAACCACCGAATGAGAAATTGAGAATGGATAGTGGAGACCTACGCGATCTTTCAAGACTTCAACCATGAAAATAAAAAAAGAAGAAAGCGAGAAAAAAATTGGAAACGATTTTGTCGTTTTGTGTCATTTTTATACCCTTAGTGATATGCGAGGAAAGATGCTACCGACAAAACAAGGGCTGATACAAGACGCAATGAATCTTGACCTGCGTATGGAGGACCCACCATCATGTGGGCCCCACTTCAGGGTAAGCATATTTTACAGAAAAGAACTCATAATCGAACTCTTTTCATTTAGTGATTTTTAGATTGTACTCCGCTTCAGAATTATGATTTGAACTGCGGATCTATAATAATTTAAAATTATACGTGAATTGGCATCAATTGCAAGCTGACATCTACCTCACCACACGGTAGAGCTAGGACTTATGAGATGGTCTGAACAGTAAAAACCCTCTTCATTTATATGTGGAGTGGCGACAATCAGACGGTCCAAAATCATCTGATCATGTTTGTGAAAACAAACAGCCTCTTACTCTTACAGGTGGGACCGATGGGAGGACAGGCCAATCAATTGTGTGGCTAATTCCACAATAGGCGACAATTGTTAATGGAATTGGGAATTTCTGCCAATAATAAACATTCCAACCCCTACTAACTTCATCTAACACGGCTCATTTTACTATTAAACTGGGACCCACCACAAAAAAAGTAACCCGTCATATATAAACCTGTTCATGGGCCAGATAGCCTGACGAGTTGGCCTGGCCCGGTCCATTATTAAGTCGGGCTTGGGCCTAAAGCATCGGGGCAAACTTCTTTTTGGGTTGGGCTTGGGTTTTGTCAAAAAAGTTTGGCCCGAGCCCGAGTCCGAGTCCGATTTGATATAATATATTAAATAATAAAAATATATTTTATTTAATAAAAAATGTATATAATATTTTTTTCTTTGTTATTCTTCTCTTTTTTTTTCAAGTAATAGTGAGATGTTTATTATTTTTGAGTTTTAAAAGTTTTTAATATAAATAAAACATTTTTTATTGAATAAAAAAAATTCTGTTTTCAAAATTCTGACTGAGCTCGAGTTTGAGCTTGAGCTTGGGTTTTGGGTTTTATACGAGGACCAGGCTCGGACTCAAAACTTAGGTCCGATAGTTAAACCGGGCTCAGGCTTAGGCCTAAGTATATTCTATTGATACATATGCAAAGTCCGACCAATAGGTGTAGTCATATATGAGATGTGCGGTGTGAAATTATGTTGGTAAATTTTTGGAATGAATTTTGTTGGCAGGTGATCCGGACAGGTTTGACAACTGTTGTGTCAAACCAGGTCGTATGCTAGGCTGTTGCTCAATAAAAAAAGAGAGAAGGTAAAGCTCGGTGCTGGTCGACTCTATCTGGGAAAGGTGTTTTGTTGGTGGGCGCCTAGGGCTGGAGTTCCCTGAGGGTCTGGACCCACTCTTTAGTGATAGATGTAGGCAATCTCGACCATTCGTCGCATAATGGTCCCACCTAATTCCACTGTGCCTTCCGCATGATACGTCAACCCATTCAGTCCCTGTTTGCCTTTTCGGTGAAAAGAAATTGTGTGCAATTATTCATTTGCCCCAATCCATGTTAACGTGTCATGTCAAAAAAATTTCTCACTAGTTATCTGATGAATGCTCTATTTTGTTGCTTTACACGTGTCTATTGCTTATTGGAAGGAAGAAAAAATATATTTAGGATTTTGAGGACTAAGCCAACAAATTAACACGTAGGATGCTTTTGATTTTATCGATAGATGAGCACATATTGAATCATTGCTCAGTAGGAAAAAGGGAAGGAAAGATTGCGTTCTACGAACAAACACTGAAAGGCGGACGTGTTTGGAGACCAAAACTGAAATGCATAATCTGCTACACGTCCGCCTCATTGTAATTGGAAGGGGTGGGGTTGGCTCCGGCTACGGCTCGGTCAAAAAAATGCGAGCGATGGGAGAAGTCGGCGTGAGAGGGTAGAGCAGTCGAATGTCGAATTGATCAATTTATCGTCGGAAAACATCCATTCCCTTTTTGCTCAGTCACTCTTCAATCGATCTTATCTGTCGTTCCTGATTCAGTAAGTACTGGGATCCCTTCACCCTTCCTCAGAATTGTCTAGGGTTTGGAGTTATTGGTTTGTTGCCTTTTTGCTTCTAGGGTTTTCATTTCGATGTTTCGTGTTGTCGTGTTTATTTATTTTGATTCGATTAATACTTGCTTATGGTCTTCGTATCTGATGGTTTATTGATATTGGTTTGTAATTTGGTTAATTCATGGTTTTGCTTCATTTTTTATCTTCTGTTTCTTGGTAATTTTTGTTCAAATCGGTCTTTGGGATGAAGTCAGTTGATTTTTCTGGTGTTTGATTGCTGAGGCGTTTGTTATTTCAGTTCATTAGCTACGGCAGGAATTATTTTGTTCTGGCGTTCTGCGCTGGTTGGCGGGTTCCAGTGCTTCGTACTCATGGAGATGGATTTGGTGTGTAGTTGCAAGGTATTTCACATTTTTCATGTTTCGATTGATCATAAATCATGGTAGGTTCTGATTATAGGAATCGGCTTGCTGTGGCTGTGTTAATTCATTGGGACAAGTTAATAATTGTAACTATCAAACAGTCCAACTGCTCACTTGCTCAGTGAATTCATGTGTTGGTGGTAACTCAGAGTGCTACGAGTTACATAAATTCGCTTGGGTTATTTGCATTGGTCAAACGACATAAACACCCACTGGAGCTAAGAACTAATTGTAATGTTTGAATTTTCATTAATAATTATAACTTAACAATATTTCATCTTCTTTTTATTTCTGTAATAATTATTACTTTCTCCTGAGAATGTTCCACAAGCGAGCTAATATGAGTTTTAGGTATCAACATGATGGAATAAGATTTGCTGATTGGACGTGTGATATTTAAAGGGGATGCCAACTTGGAAAGTGAACATTTTTAAAAGTCATTTATGCAATTCTTGTCCTTGGAAGTAACAAATGGCTCTCTAGGGGTCTATTCAGCTTAATTGGATTAGAAGATCTACCGATAGTCTGGCAGTGGCAGAGATGGTCTAGCTAAGCAAGGGGTTCAGAGACAGAGTATGTTTTGGGCTCAGATGTAATATGTTTGGGGGGGTTTAGACATTTGGTGGCTTCTGTATGTTCGACAATGCTTTGTTTCTCGGCTTTCTTTTAAAATTAATAAAATCCTTTTATGAGTTACTGGTAAAAAAATGAAGAGGCTTAAAAATCCAGTTGAAACCTTATTTTCTTCAGAACCAAAATTGTTGCATGGCTAAAGTTGTGGAGCTATAACCCTCTCACATAACTTTTAGCATTGGTTAGATTTTTCTGCCAAATCCAGATCTCCTAAACTTAACACTGTGCTAAATTGTATTCTAATCAATGAGAATTCATCAAAATTCATGGGGTGGTTTTGATTGGTAAGACTCTTAGAAGTGAGACTCAAAAGTGAGATCTTCCACTAACTTTTTAGAGTCTGATCAATCAAAAGCACCCCTGTGAATTTTGATGAATTCTCATTTGTTAAGTATACAACTTAGTGCATAGTGTCAAGTTTAGGAGATCTAGTTTTTTTCTGCCATTATTTACATTGTCTATTGTTGGTGGACTGCTTCTTGAAAAAAGCGGGGTAGCACCCTACTTTTAAGTTCACCAGCTAGTGTTCCTTTATCCTGTCTAAACTATTAAGTTCGAAATGTGGTATGAGACATCTTATCAGGCCATAATTTAAACCAAAACATTCATAGAAGATTTGAAATTTTGTTATTAAAGGAGAAAAGAAAGCATGAAAAGCAAATTCTTAGATTACATTAAAAATGTTTTACTGAGGCAACTGTTTTTTGATAAGTCTGTGGCAACTTATTTTCTTCTTAAACAATTCTTATTCTTGTCTCGTTGGTTTGCTTAAGTTGCCAAATCATTAGTTGGCTCCTCCTTGGTTGTTTCTTTGAGATAATTGCACACGTGCTTTGCCTGTATTCCAGTTATTTTGTGTTTCAGTTGGTTCTAGAACACACCATACTGAACATATATTCTTTTATAGTGTAGTGTGTTTGCGAACCAGCAATTCATGGTTTTGGAATACAAAACATTGTCAATTTTTGAACACAGTTATTTCTTGTGTTCCAGAACACACCACACTTTCTTGTCTTGGTTGGCTTAAGTGGCGAATTCATATGCTGGATCTTCCTTGGTTGTTTCTTCGAGATAATAGCAAAATTACTTTGCCTGTATACCAGTTATTTTGTTTTTCAATTGGTTCTAGAACGTGCCACAGTCCACAGTGAACACACATTCTTTTAGAGTGTAGTGTGTTTGGGAACCAGCAATTCATGGTTTGGGAACACAAAATATTGACAAATTTTGAACACAGTTATTTCTTGTGTTCCAGAACACTCCACGCTTTATTACCTCGATATAACATTGATTTAGTACAATATGACTAAAAAATTAGTTCATTTCAAATCTCAATATTTTAGTAGAGTGGGGGCCAACAATCTGGAACACACCACACCTATTTGAGACCACAGTACATAATACATCATATGTTATTTATTATTATTATTATTTTAGTTTTTTGTATGCTATTTGTATATTGCACTTGCATTCCAGGACAAATTGGCATATTTCCGGATAAAAGAACTTAAGGATGTTCTCACTCAGCTAGGTCTTGCAAAACAAGGGAAGAAGCAGGTATGATGTTGGGAATACTTATATTTTTTCTATTTCATACATGTTTATTGGGATCAGTTTGAAGAACTTTTGGGTTCTTTTCTTCAATGCGATGTATTTTGTCATTTAGTCTTGTTCGCTTGGATGAATGCAAAAGAACATGTCTGTAGTTGTTGAAGAATTTCTTTTAGTGAATGTGAAAAATGAAAATGATGGATGATGCTGAAAGATCTAGAAGGCTAATATTGCCTATAAACAGGATGACTCAATGTGATTATACACTGCAGTTTTTCAATCCCTAATTCATAAGTTGAGGCAAGCATATCATTTTTTTACCAGTTACCATGTTCAAAAGAAAGTTCATTTATGATAATTATTTACACGTGAAGGATAGTAGGCACCATGTAGTTGACTGGGCCTGAAGCCTGTTTTTTTTTTGTTGGATCAGCAACACAGAATTTATTAATTGATTAGATTCAAAAAGTATATACAACAAGAAGTTGTGGGCAAAGGATGAGCCTGAGAGAAGAAAACCACTAATTACAAACCAGCCAGAATATAGATTGTCTTTGAATCCCTTGTTTAGCTAGTCCATCAGCCATATTGTTAGCTGATCTCCTAACCCATCTAACTTGGATCAAATGTCTTTAGATATCTACTTGAAGCGCCTGAGTTCATTTCTTACCTTCCACATCCCTCCTTTCCCCTTTTTCAGCCAGTTTACAAAAATCTTTGAGTCCCCTTCAATAATCAGTCTGCTAATCCCCATTTCTTTGGCTTCTTCAACACCATACATTGCTGCCATAAGTTCTGATCTCACCACATCACCATGCTGAATGGGACCTGAGTATATGGCTAAAATATTTCCATTCTCTCCAGGGTTTCCCATACAGCTACAATCAAAGTTTAATTTCTCCCATCCAGCCGCTGGAGGGGACCAGACCTCATTTGTTGTAGATTTTCTAGAAGCAGTGTTAGCAATTGTTCCCCAAGATCTGAAGAAGTCTTGTCTTAAAGTCAGCAAACAACCTCAATGTTTTCACCCAATGTGCCACACTTAGAGATATCACTTCAATCAATGTTTCTTTGCTTCTTTCCTTGTCGTAAAAAATCTTTAAATTTATTTCTTCCCAAATTGTCCAAACCACTTTTGCTCTAGTGCACCTTCCCATAAATCTTCCTCTTCTTTTAGAGCACCTGAAAATATGAGAACTATAGAATCCATCCAGATTAACATGAGGAGTCCAGCTGCAACCAAACAGATAGGAAAACCACTCCCAAATGTAGTTATCAAAAGGACATGAAATTAAAAGATGAAAGGCAGTCTCACTGTGTACCTTACACAAGGAACACCAGTTTGGGGACAAGCATCAATTTGGTCTTTTTTTTTTGAAGCAAATCACAAGTGTTAATGGAGCCATGTAACACTTCCCAACAGAAGGCACTAACTTTTGGAGGATGGGCTGACACCAGTGACCAGACCTCCTTGATAGGGAAAGAAGGAGAGGAGGAGGTAGCAACAAGGGAATTCATAAACGATTTGCAAGAGAAGGAACCTGATTGGTTGAGAGACCAAACTCTAGAGTCTGAACCACCGTCCCCCAGTGTTTTAAAAGCGCAAGGTGCAAAATTACAAAAAAAAAGATAAAAATTAAAAAAAAGTCAGAAAATTCAAAAAATGCCAAAAAATTAAAAAAATGCAAAAAAACATTAAACATAATGTTAATAAAAAATATAAACTTAAAATTTAAAATAAATGTTTTAAAAACCTATTATCTAAAATTAAAATATATAAACATCATGTAAAGCGTATTCAAATGAAAATTAAAAAATAAAAGCATTTTCAAGCATGTAAAACCCACAATCTCTTTTTCTTTTTCCCTTAATTGCATTGCTTCAACCTTCAAGTAGCTAATGTGATGTAAAACATATTGCATTCTTGATTTTATGAGTCGCCCTTGTACCATACTCCTCGAGGCAAGCCCGAACAAGTCCATGTTAGGGGGCGGAGCCCCTGGCCCAGCCATTAGGCTAAAAAAAGCAAAAAGCGCAAATTTTCAAAGAGGCGCATGCCTAGGTGCACCAGGCGTATGCCTTTTGAAAGGGGTGCACCCAGGACCTGGGCGAGGTGCATACCCCAAAATGCACCTTGCCTGTGTGCCTAGGCGCGCCTTTTAAATCATTGCTGTCCCCCAAAACCACTGAACTTAGCAAGTTAATCAAAGCAGAGGCATTAGAGATTCCAGATTCTCTCAAATTTCTAGTAAAACCCAAATTCCAATTCAAGTTAGAAAATGAAGATGATGAACTGATGAAGTCACTGATAGGTGTTCCCTTGAAGTGGAAAGAGCAAGGAGGGAAGGGAAAACCACAGATAGGGGGGAATCTCCAACCCAAATGTTCTCCCAAAACCTGATTTTCTGACCTGAAGCCAAATGGGTCAACAGCCAACTCTTATGTCTTCTTAGTCCTCTTGGAAATCCATGCAGGTGACCCTTCCTGCTTCTTTGAGCTTAATTAGATATGATGCTGCTTGTGAGAATTGACTCCTTTTGGGAGGTCCTATGGTTGGGTAACTCTCCTTTAATTGTGTGGTTTTCTTTGTTGTATACCCTTTCCTAATATCATAAATAGCCTATTTCTAAATTCTGCTCTCTCACCACTTCTGGTTTGTTTTGGGACTTTGGTTTCAAAGGGGGTCTTGGGGATTGGGAGTGTTCACTCTATGGCTGATTTGTTAACCTTGCTCAACTTGGTGTTTTTTGGACTCACTTTCAGCTGATAGTTGTATTTGGATTGCCTCCCCTAATGGTTACTTGTGAAAGAAATTTGTAGTACACCGGTCCTACCTAAAATAAGGGATTTCTGTTGGAAGTATCTCTTGGTAAGATCACCTGCGATGTGCTCAAAAGAAGGCCCAATGAGTGATTTCCGCCTCATGTGTGTATCTTATGCAAAGCAAGTGGTGAGACTATCCCCCATTTACTAATCCTTTTGTGACTTGTGTTTGTTGGTGTTTTTGCTCCCTCTTTGGTTGTAGGTGGGAACCCCCTCAAGATGGGGGAGTCTTCAGAAATGGTAATGGTATTGTCATAGCTTTGTGCTCTGGACTGATTGGATATGGGGACTCATTAAATGCTGAGGTGTTGTCTCTCTTATAAGGGTTGAAAATAGCCAAACAGTTTGAAATGAAACTGGTGAAGGTGAAAGGAGGCTCAAATCTAGTTATCTCGTGGATGGACTGCAATAATTTGTGTGCCTGGATGTTCAGGCAAACTATAAGGGAGATAAGAAAATTGGCTGCAGAGGTGGAAGCTGCTTTCAGATGATGGGTGAAGAGGATGGCAAACGGGTTGGATGATGCCTTACCAAAGCAAGGGGTCTACAGGGAACTTTTTTGGGCAGAATTGTAATGGACTTTATATAATGTTTGGGTTGCTGAGTGAAAGCTCCGGTCTCTTTTTTAATTCTTATTTTGATATCAAGTATACATCCAAAAAATATAATTGTAATGGACTTTTCAATTTTTCATATACATAAAATGAGAAGAAGTAATAAAATGCATCTCCTATATACTTGGTGTTTTGGATATGGTCAGTAATGTGGGTAGTATTCTGCTGCCTTGGAACTAGCTGTCATCGGATCGGACTTGGATCAGATTCATCTAAATCCGAGTTCGATTTTACATGCTGTTGGTTGCATCCGACTCCGATCCGAAATCTGATCGGATTATGTTGTGCACGGAATCCGATCGGATTTTTATCCGACTTCGACTGAAGCTACCTATTTCAGCAGTTGAATGGTCACAATTGTTGAATATAATATCATTAAAGCAAAATCTATAATATTTACTCAAAAAGTTTTGAAACAATTCTGTAATCTGTAAAATTTAAATTTTTATTTCAAAGATTTTGAAATAATCTATAATTTATTCATAACAAATGAAAGCCTATCGTCAAGAAGAAAATGGTACATGGGAGCTCTATGGTCAAGAAGAAAACCTAGGCGAGAAAAGAACGACGGCGACGAGAAAGAACGGTGACGACAACTTGGTTGTTGTAGAGATTGAGAGTTGAGAGAGGAGACAACGCTAGCAACTTGGCAAATGGCAAGGTGAGTTGGGCAACGACAAGAGAGAAGTGAGAAGAATATGTCGACTGTTGGAGTGTTGAGTGAGGGCTAACCAACTGGGGGTTTGAGGAACAAATTTCCTCATTTACCCCTAAGAAATTTTATCTATTCAATTAATGTATAAAAGTATATAATATAAAATATATAGAACACTTTTATATTTATAAATATATTAGAGTTCGATTTTTATCGGATTGGATGGGGGTGAATCCGAGTTTGATCCGATTTTTAATCGGATTATACTTCTGCAATCCGAATCCAATCCGATATGACATTTACCTGATCAGAATCCGAGATTATTGGATTGGGTCATGGGTTTACGGGTATCGTTGACAGGCCTACTTGGAGCTTTGATTCTTTATGGCCTGAAAACTACAACGTTTTATCTTATTATGAGAAAACGTCTTGATTGTTTGAATCTCATGATTTGATCCATGAATCTTACAACAAAGCTGATTAAAAATCTAGTAAGCAATGCCTAAAGCACAAAAACAACTTTATATGCATTTTAGACAAGTGGAACACACAAAAGATTACTTTTTGAACAAAACAGTGGCTCCACATTGTTTATATTGTGCTTCAAAGATTTTTTGAACCCTTGGTACTGATTTGTTCTTTGTAATTTGATATTACTTAATTGTATTCGAGCTATCCATTTTGCATACCATACGATTCTTTCTTCTTTTTTTTTTTTCCTAAGGGGTTTTTGTTTTAAAGTCCTTCATAAAACGGATGTTTTATTTTTCATTATTCAACACCGTTTTGATTGTCTAGTTGTGTCTATTTTCTCACCTAAAGAAATACTTTTCAACCAATGTTTCCCATTTTATGTTATGTTATGCAGGATCTCATGGACAGAATTTTGGCTATGCTATCTGATGACCAAGGTAGGCTTATTTACACTATAATCCTTCCAATTTGGGTGGTTGACATGCAGCTTCCTTATCATACATGTAACTTTTCACATGGCTGGAGTATCCAGTCTTTTTTGTACATAAATAAAATCTCTTTCATTGTTGTTAATGATAAGAGAGTGCTCAGCATTATATTATGTTATGGAAAAACCAACTACATGTTATATTGCTGCTGTTTTATTAACTACACATTAAACTAAATTCACTATTGTGTATGGTGTTTTTGTTTCTTGGTGCTTTGTATCACATGGTTTAGTTCACTTGAACATTGTGGTCTGTGTACTTTTTTATGGTATATGTTTGAATTCATCTTTGTTGTGGATGTTGTTTGGATGTCAAAGATTGTTGTGTCTCACTTTTATTTCTTTGGGAGTTGATGTGGTGATTGGGAGTTGCCTATGGTTGCAAAGATCATGATGTTTTGATTGGAGATGGCTCTGACGGGTGCCATACAAAGTTCTGAAAATCATAATTGTATCATAAATTGAAGCACTATTTATTTTTTACGAACTTGTCAAATAGATAGATACATAGATAGATAGATAGTGTTAATGCAAAAAAAAGCAAAAAATACATAAACATAGTGTTAATAAAAAAATATAAACTTAAATTATAAAATGCCTATTATCTAAAATTAAAGCGTATTAAAATTAAAATACATAAACATAACATGTAAAGCGTATTCAAATGAAAATTTAAAAATAAAAGCAAACATATAAAGCATTTTTAAGCATGTAAAACCTACAATCTCTTTTTTTCCTTAATTGCATTGCTTCAAGTAGCTAATGTGATGTAAAGCATATTGCATTCTTGATTCTATGAGTCGCCTTTGTAGCACGCCCCTCGAGGCAAGCCCGAAGAAGTCTATGTTAGGGTCTGAAATTCTTATTTCTCACATAAAAAATAATGATTTTATAACTTTCGTCGCCTTTTAAAAAGATATTTTATTGAAATGAATGAATGAACACCATTAGCAAATAGGGAGTTAGACTAAAAAAAAGGGTTTCTAGCAGATAAGGGCAACTTTTTGCCTTGAATATCAACAAAAGATAATATTTTTATAAAATAATCCGAATACACTGGATTTGAAGCCTCAGTGAATCCATTTTATGTTTTGCACGGATAAGAGAAGGAAGAGGAACAATATCTACTGACATGGGCGAATCCATTGTTCCTTTCATTCCTCTTCCTTCTCTTATCCGCCCATCTTAGTGAGCAAGTCTRGCGGCCTTTGTAACAGCTGCTGCCACGCCCCCAGGATGAGTGCTCACATTAGAATTATCCCGGAGCTTCGCACCAACCACCCTTTCAGCGTCCCGACGTGTTGCTGATTTATCATGCACTAGCTTCGCCGTCGCATCCTAGCCAATCAACAAAGGAAATGCTGGCGTTAACAATTGGGGAATAGGAATGACGACAGAAAATTCTGGGCATCCTGGCTTGTATCGCAGCTGCACTAGCTTGTCACTCTAATCGCCGTCACATCCTGGCTTGTATTGCACTAGCTTCGTCATTGTATCCTGGCGTGTCACCGGTTTATCATGCACTAGCTTCACACCTGGCAGGGTGTACTATCCAACCACCTATTAAAAACAATCACAGAGGAAGAGGAAGACAATGAACAGTATCATTACCCTTCCTTGATATTTTTCAAAAAAAATTACCTTATTTTAGTTATTTTATAAAAATATTATTTTTTATTGATATTCAGGGCAAAAAGTTGCCCTTATCTGCTAGAAACCCAAAAAAAAAGCAAAAAGTGCAAAATTTTAAAAAAGGCGCACGCCTAGGCGCACCAAGCGTGCGCCTCGCCTCAGTCGCGCCTTTTAAATCATTGATATCTATCTATCTATATATATATATGTATACTTAAAGGCTAAATATACATAGAATGATGATTCTACCCTATTTTTAATGCATACCTATCATATATGTACCTAAAACAATAGAATTTACCACTTATACAATAGAAGTCTAAGATGATGTAATCAAGTCTGACTTGAAAGTCAAATAATTCATAACAATGGCTCTTTATTGAACATATGGTGGAAATTAAAACTAATAAATGGTCTTACATAATGCAAATAAGTCGATTTCAAATATGGTCTTTAAAACAAGTCACCATTGAGAAAAGTAAATATGAATAAGACAAAACGACAAAGTAGAGAACTAATTCTTAATTGAACTGATTTGAATTACTGTAAGATTTTTGTAAAAAAGGATTCGAACATAAGATTTGAATCAAAGCCCTTGGTGTTCATGATTCAAATGATGAATTTATAATAAATCATAAGATTTTGACAACATGCATTAAGATAAAGACAGAAGCGACTTATATATCCTTGTAAAGAGTTTTTTATTGCTTTTTGGCCTGTGTCTTTTGGGAGTTTTTTTCTGAGATTATTTGTGATTTTATGGATGTTTCTAGAGGGTATGCTTGATTTTTTGTGGAGTAGGTAGGATGCTCTTGTGTCAGAAGAGGAAGAGTATCATGTGAAAGTGTTTAGTTTTGGGTTAAGTATCATGTGAAACAATATCATGTAAATTATTATGAACTCATAATTTACTAGCATTTCTCTTCCTACCCAGCAATGAAATGTCCTTTATGATTTTTTCCAATCTATGTGCATATTTGCATTTATATTTTCTTCACAATGAGGTGAAGTTTCGTATATCTCCCTCTGACCCACCTTATTTTGTAATCATGCTGGAATAGCTTTTTGGGTTAAGTTGGTTTCTATGTGTAGGATGTCACCCTCACGTGTTTTCTTGCCTTTGTTTTTTGCAGTTTCCAAGGTGCATGGTTGGGCAAGGAAGAATTCTATTGGGAAGGAAGGAGTTGCTAAAATTATTGATGATATTTACAGGTGATCCTCTATTATCTCTTTGTTTTTTTTGTAATGTTCTGTTTGTCTGGATATGAATTATCATTACTGGTTTATTGTATTGTATTTGTTCAACTCTGTTATGTGATCGTCTCCATTTCTCCTTTTTGGAAACGTCTTTTGTTTTCTGTGGTTTTTTGTTTGATTTGTCTTAGAAAATCTCTTATTTCGATTAATTTCATTCAGTTTCAAGAATTCTCCCTTCATTCCATGTTCTCTTATTCAGTTTCAAGAATTTTCCCTTCTTGCTACTTTGAAGTTCATAAATTCTATTTTGCTCCCAGAAAAATGCAGGTTCCTGGGGCAACTGATTTAGCATCAAAGGGACAGAGTGGCTCTGATATTAGTAATGTGAAGCTTAAAGAAGAAGTTGATGATTCTTTTCAGATGGATTTGAAGATTCGCTGTCCCTGTGGAAGTTCATTGGCTACTGAGTCAATGATTCAGGTTGGGTTATGCTTTCCTAGAGGCTGTTGTGGTAGAAAACATTTGGTATTTTGTATCTTTTAGATTGTCTGTCCTTGTACGTACGACTTGAGGTCAACTGCAAATATTGAATTTATCTCTTCATGAAACAGTGACATTTTGTTATCATTCAATATTTTTTTTTTTTTTTTTATGAATGACAAACTCTATATTGCTTGCAAAGTTGTAGGTCCTGAGAAATTTTAATTATAACCTACATAATGTACAAGGAATGATTAAATTAATTGCATTACTTGGATTATATATAATAGTGGTTTTCTATACTAAAACTGTTTAAAACATAAAGGTTGACGTAACTGTTGATTTGCCAATCTCAATGGGCCTTTCCTGATTTCCTCTGTTTCTGGAACCATGAAGTGATCTTCTTCAATCACTTGTGGCCTATGGTAGTTTTGTCTAATAATAACAAGTCCTTAAGTGGGTTATAGTCTTAACTATTTTGTTTCTTTCAAGTCCATAAATTTCTCCCAGTTCATCTATGATCTGGGTGGTCAAAAAGAACAAAGTGTATATCTATTGGCAATTAACTTATGTAATCCTTCATACATGGTTTGTCTATTTTTAGCAGTGAAATCATGACAATTAGACTTGCTTAGCAGTGTATAAGTGTCAACCCTGTCTTTTTTTTTTCTTTTTTTAGTTACAGTTATTAATTGTTGTTGGGATATAAAATCATACTTTCATTTCCTTGTGTAGGGGATGAAAACTAGCACAATTTAACAGCCCAAGATTGATTGGGATAGTTCAAAATGACCCAAGTATGAACTATCAAACCAACTGACTTCTTTTAAATTGTAATCCCTGCTCCTGCCAAAGAGTTCCCTAGGCTATTAGTGCATTGCCTCTCTAACCAGAGCCAGGGGCAGTATGTCTAGAGGAACTATGATATCACCACCTGATAATCTCCTTGCACAATCAAGTTGGAGTAAAGTTGCAGCCTTATTACTTGGAGGAGAATGTGCTATTGGCCCTCAAGAGTTGCTGACTCCAACTGGACCTTGGAAGCTTATTAACATAGTTCCAGTTTTGTTTGTTCTCACATCCCCTATTCCTGCTTGTCTTGGATTACCATAACAGCATCTATCAACATTTGGTTTTACAATTCTTGTTTTCAGAACTGCCAAAAATTGTATTGGCTGTTTGTCTCATGTGAGCAAAACCAGCAATAGTTCCACTCTTCCTTTGTCAAGACCAAATGAGCCACCCCTATCTTAACAGATTCTATTATATTTTCCACCTCTTGCTCTTAATTGTCAACACTTATAATGCAGTTTGTAATGTTATGAATGAGTCATGCATTAAGGATTGATTGTTTGATCTAGGGATGGGAATAAGGTTGACTTCAGTGTGCATCAATAGAGGAGTCATTAAGGATTGATTGGGGGGTAGTTCATCAGTTGAGAAGAGTCTGACTCAGGTGATCAAAATTTTTTGAATAGTTGTCTTCAGTGTGCATCAACAGAAATCCTGCAGCGGCAGATGGTAATGGTGCTGGCTTGACTTGAAGTTGGAGGGTGGCTTATAGGGTGGATGCTGAGAAAGGTGAACCCAGTATATGATGTCAAAAGGATGATATTGAGAGACCATTGGACTTGCATGAAGGAGTGATCAGTGATGATTTGTGTGAGGTTAACCCTAGGTTTTTTGTTAGTATGGAAGGTGCTGAGGGTTAGATCAGGACCAAGTTGCAGATTCAGGAGAATTGGGTGTGTGTGCACTTCAGTTTCAGTTGAATTGAGTTGAGAAAGTTTATTCTTTTGTCAAAGGATTGTTGAATTGAGTTGAAACTCAAAATTTATGATTTACTTTAGGCAACTCCATATCATTGGGACAAGGCTTTGTTTGTTACTTTTGTCAGCAGGACAAGGCTTTGTTGAATTGAGTTGAGAAAGTTTATTCTTCTATCAAAGGATTGTTTATAGCAGTTTGGTACTCTCACTTTTTTTTGTTTTTGCTTTTGTATTTGATTTCTTGTAGTTGTTTAGATCTTCATTTCCTTCTTGCCTAAGGATATTCCATAATTCTATTTTTAGTGATATTAAATAAAAGAGTCCATAAATTCTATTCACTCAGAAATGATGATCCATTGAAGTATGTTTTACTTGATTCTCTTACCTTCAATGTATCAGCGTGGTGTCCTTATATGCTATAGGTTGCATTGGATATTTAATATAGACACTTGTATTTTAACTTCTATAAAGGTGTGTTATGTGTGCCTCTTCTTATTGTTCACATGGAACTCTGTTAACTAAAATATATGTGTTTTATGTTTTTGTTGTTGCAGTGTGAAGACAAACGATGCAATGTTTGGCAACACATTGCTTGTGTCATTATTCCGGAGAAACCAATGGAGGGTGGTCCAACAGTTCCATCTCAATTTTATTGTGAAATCTGTCGACTCAATCGAGCAGATCCGTATGTGCCACCCCCTTTTTGGGTTTTTGTGAACCAACACCATTTATTTTATAAATGTTAAGACAATATTTGTGTCCTCTGTATTTGATAGTCAACTTTTGCTTCTTGACCATTCATAAAATATGTCTTCTTGGGGATCTTCCGCATGTATGGCTTCTGACTGTACATGGCTTATATTTGTATGGAGTTTTTCTCATGTTTAATGTGATTCCTTACCTTATCTTCCAACAAAAAAAATCTACTTGGGATTACCTCTTAATGTGCTATGTGGTTTTTGATATGTGGTGTTTTCTAATATTCCTCCTATGATGCATTCAATGCAAAATGATCCTGACTGTGATCAGTTTTCATTTTTGCAACCCAAATACTACATGTTTCCAAGAAAGTTCTCCATGATAGTGTGTTAAGCAGGTTTACGGGTTAATTTTTGAAACCAAGGCTTCACATGCTGGTGACAACCTCAACTGAAATCTAGAAGATTATGTAGCTCAAGTTCTGATACCTCGGAATTTTACAGTCATTCCAGATTTTGTTTTGATTATTAGTTAGTTTTGTTTAATGGTGAAGTATATATTTGACTCTCCTTTCAGTTTTTAGTATATATTTATCGTCATGTTTCTTATTTTAGGATAGATTTTGTTCCTGTGCGCTAACATCTCTTGTCATATGCAGTTTTTGGGTCACATTGGCTCACCCACTATTTCCTGTGAAGTTATCTGCTACAAGTATACCACCTGATGGGTAAGCACATAACGTTGCATTTACTTCCACCTTTTTATTTGCTCATTGTCATTGGCCTGATAGTAAATTTCGAGTTCTTTATTTCAGTTCCATTTATTTCATTGGAGAATCCCAGAAAGGAAAATATTTTCTTGGTTCTTTTTTCAATCCTTGTGTTTGTTTTCATTATTAAACTTGTTGGTAGAAATAACTTCAAAAAATAAGGGGCTGGAGTAAACGATTTCTCCCCTTTAAATCAAGAACAACTTTGTTGGAGAGAAAATCGTTACAAGTGACATTAATTGATCAATGAGTTTTGGAAGTTCATTCTTTCTTTGGAATATATTGCAGCACAAACCCAGTACAGAATGTGGAAAGATCGTTTCAACTGACAAGAGCAGACAGAGATATGTTACTGAAATCAGACCATGATGTGCAGGTTAGTTTCCTACATATCAATATTTACATATCCTTCAAAATATGAGAAATTACAGTTATACACTGAATACTATTGAAGATGGTGACTTGTATGTAATGGCATTTTGTACATTCAGGCTTGGTGTATGCTTCTTAATGATAAGGTTCCATTTAGAATGCAGTGGCCCCAATATGCAGATCTACAGGTCAATGGTATGGATATTTTGTTAATTGTCTGCAGCACTAATTGATGATATTCCTGTATACATGGAGAAATCATTTATTATATTTTGAAAGTTCTTGTTTTTTTTTTTTTGTTTCAGTCTATCAAAAAAAAGGTATGTTTGGCTCAAAAATGCAATTTTGTTAAATACATTCATACAACTAGTTTATGTGAATCATATGTTTCACTTGTGTTTTCTTTCCTTGATCCACTGAAGTGAATTTAATATAGACTTGCAAATGTTTGAAATTACTTAGCAGTTTATTATCAACATAATCGTCCTTGTCAATTTGGTCTAGATGTCTGTTTTATTTGGTTGTTAACTTGGGTTTGAGACTTTAGTGCACAGGATGATGCCAGATGCTTATGTTCTTCTCATCCATAAATAACTCTTACCAAACATTCAAAACACTTTTTGGCTTAATTTTGTTTTCCATAGGCTAAAGCTCAAGAGCAAAAGCTTATCCAAACAGAGCCTTACTATATCCAAAGGCTCTATGTTTCATATCCATAGATGGATGGGTTATCTGTTCAATTACTAGACTTTAGGTACTTTGTAACAATGTACTAGTGAAGTATGAAAGCTCAGTTTCATACTGCACATGTTAATTTCATATCCTGTGAAGACATTTTTTTTTCTAATGTACATTTCAGTCTCTTTTCTTTTTTCCACTCCTTTGGTCTTGAAAATTTTGTTTTCATAAGCCATCTTCAGCTCCCAATGTTGTCTTCATTCAAGGTTTTATTTTGTGTTGTTTATTTGAAAGGTGTAAAATTTGAAGAAGCTGATGATCTCATCATCCAGAGGTGTACAAAGATATTCAATGGGGAGGCATGATGCAAGGGATCAATCATTGAAAACATCGTATTGAAACTTGAAAGTAGTGCATTGGATAAAAACTTTGAATAAATTTGTGTCTTTTTCCATGATGGTATCCCTACAATATGGCAGTGGGTAGCATCTTTATCAATGGCAAAGTATGTAGCTTCAATACATTGGTATCCACCAAATGCAAATTGAATGTTACTAAATTATTATGTAGGATTGTTGTATTTATCAAAGGGGAATGTTTCGATGGAGAAGTTCATGCAGGTTGCTCGATGGAGGAGATAATTTCAAAATCAAAATTTTGAAGGCAACGGTATTGATGAAAGGGAAATCAATCCTTTGGTTCCAAGGATTTCTAGATGGAGCCATTCATTCAGAGAGACAAACCAACTGGAAAGCCACCATTGAGGCAGAAAATAACAGACACTCTGCAAAAAAAAAGGAAAATAGATTAGGAAAATCCGTAACGTTAGAGGAATACTTTGGTGTGGGCAAAAGGCGAATGATATGTATCCTGGAAGGTAGAAGGTGCTATGTATGGAAGTTGGTAGCAGATGCTTTATAACAGTTTCTAGAAAAAACAGCGGAACTTAAACAAGTGAAGGAGAAGGTGCAGATAAAAGATTCGGCAAAAATTCATTCATAAAAAAAAAGATTCGGCAAAAATTAAATTAGTAGGGTGGCCACTCAACATAGGGTTGTCCAAGATATGTTGTTGCTTTCCATGGTACCATTACCATGCCTGAATCCTTCCTACAACATCTCAGTTTGGACCTCMACTTCATCCAGAAGGAACTTCATTGTACCTCTCGATTTTAGATTGCAGTGGAATTTGCCCAAGACACAGTTACTGTYGTTGGGGATTTGAAAGTATGGATAACAGGTTATCTGTTGGGATCTGTTGTAGCAATGTTGGCCAGAAAGAAGTGAAGAAAGGATCTGAAGGAAAAAGATCATATACGGATATTGCTGGAAGGAGAGAAATGGAGTTTGTGCAGGCAGGTCAGTGGAGGAGATCCTTGAAGATAGAAGCAAAAAATTTCCTGTTTGAAAAAATGAGAATCAGGGGGAAGGTAAGCCTGAAGGTAAGGGAAGCGAAAAAGGGTACAATATTGTTGGAAGGATTAGAAGTGATCGAGTGGCTAAGAGAGTTCATAGCTGGAGCCTGTTCAAAAGGTAAGCAGATAAACTGGCAGGATTTTAGTACATTAGAAAAGAGAAGATATGTTGTTGAATGTAAGAGGAATAGAAAAGGCTTCTTCATAGTTTTGGCTGAATTTTTTGGTAAGGGACGAAAGCAACTGGTGTGTCTACCAGCAGGAAAACAGAACCAAGGTTGGGGGGAAGTTGACTGGTTGTTCAAAGAGTTTTTAGCTCAAAGAGTAGCAAATGATAAAAAAGCCTCCATAAGGGAGGAGAAGGCATATCTCAGCAACAGCAGGGTAGAACAAGGTCCAGTGGTCATGGCAAAAACAAAAGGCCATTGCAGAATGGTGGGAGGTCTAGAGAGAGAAGAGTGGGATAGTGAGTTTGTGATACAAGCCAAGGAAAAGGTTAATGATTGGAGGAGGGTAGCTGACTTATTGGCAACCAGGTTGAAGYTGAAGAGTGTCTTCATAGTAACCCCCTTCGATAACTGTAAAGCCCTCCTAGATCCAATAGAGAWTGAATTGGAAATATCAGCTATCAATGTTCAGGCTGATTTTGGATCATTCACAGTCTTTAAATGGA